GCAAGCCCCCAAATTTCATTTTATCCATTTGCCTTGCCTGCTTTATCTCAGCTTTAAAATATAGCTATATTTTCTAAATGCAAGTGTAGAGACTGTATTTAAATTCAAGAAACACAGTATTCTTATTCCTCTTTGTATCTCTTTTCCTCAGCTCCCTTCCCTTCCCAAGATTTAGCTCAATGAATTTATCTGGGTACTTGACCTACACTACCAGGGTATAAGGTAGAGGGAAGTGCCCTCTACAATTCTTCCTTTGATTCAGATGCTGAGTTCTTAAAGCTTCTGTTTATGAATTCAGGAAGTAGCTATAACCAGAGTGGGGGTAGGTCTGGCACCTACACTCTGGCTGAACACAATTTTACTTGATCCAACAAGCCCAAGGATGTCATGAAAAAACGTGTGAAAATAAGTTTTCCTAAAATTTTTAAGCTATTTTCAACTTTTCCTTCTCATAACTTTACTTATATGAAAGTTATAGTTTCCCAAAAGCATAGGATCAGTCTCTTTATCTTAACCTCTGACAGGTATTAATGTTAGAAATATCCAAATGGCCCTTGGCATATTCCCCACCCCTGATTTAAGCATTTAAAACTTAAGATAAACAAAACAAACACTGAAAAAAAAAAGAAATTCCCCAGGCCAGTGTAATCTAATAAATTAGTGGCTTAACTGATCTTCATTTGAGTCCTTTAGTAACTTATAAAAATGTCATTGAGCTATGTGAGTTTTTAAAATTATATCTTCTTATATATTCTAAAATTGATTTTGAGGCTAAGGTAACTCTTAAAATGGAAATGAAATTTTTGGATAATTATAGCAATGTTATGGACTCTCAGGTTTTGAGTGCATAAGAATGCTTCATGGAAATGTATTCATAGGCCTAACATAGGTCTTTTTCTTTTCTTTTTTAAATTCAGTCTACTAACTAGTTACTTGAGGTGAGTAGGCAATTCTCAAAAAAAAAACTAAACAATTTGACTAAGTCAAAAATCTTTGAATATTACAGCTGAAATGCTCTTAGCAATCATTTCTCCTAATCCCCCTTATTACATCTCTCTCTATATATATAAAAGCCTAAGCAACCGAACAACCAATGACTGGTCGCTATGACACACACTGACCACCAGCGGGCAGATGCTCAACACACAGGACCGGGCTCCCTCCTGTCTGGATTGGGCCTGCAGGGATTGGGCCAAAACCGGCTATCTGACATCCCCCAAGGGGTCCTGGATTGTGAGAGGGTACAGGCCAGGCCAAGGAACCCCACTGGTGCAGGAATCCATGCACCGGGCCTCTAGTATAATATAATTGAACATAAGAGGAATAAAGCAATAAAGATCATACATATGCAGGCAAATTTGGGACAAGAACCCAAGCTTCCTTTGGTTCTTCCCCTCTTCTACACACTGCTTTCTAAAATAGTCAATTTCTTCAGTCCACTCATTTGCAGACTAATTTGCTTCTAAATCTATAGTCTTACTTCTAATTAGCTGCATTTCTCCAGGACATGTAATAATATTCAATTAAGTTTAATTTCTATTCATACTGAAAAATTCATCAAAATGCAGTGAACACTACTATTTTGTGCAAAGAACAAGTTCCAAATAAGTAACAAGTTCTCTAAGTATCTCACTGAATCTCCCCACAGGAAGCAGACAGCTTAGCTGATGCAGAGGAAAGGTGTGAGCAACTGATTAAAAACAAAATCCAGCTTGAAGCCAAAATCAAAGAGGTGACTGAGAGAGCCGAGGATGAGGAAGAGATCAATGCTGAGCTGACGGCCAAGAAGAGGAAACTGGAGGACGAATGTTCAGAACTGAAGAAAGACATTGATGACCTTGAGCTGACACTGGCCAAGGTTGAAAAGGAAAAGCATGCCACTGAGAACAAGGTATGAGACATATTCTGCTAT